CGGCCCGGCCCGGCTTGCTCTCCCCTCACGAGCGCGCCCTGCTGCTCTGCGGGGAACGGCTGCACGAGGAAACCGGGCGCGGACAAGGGCTGAAAGGGGACGAGGTGGCCCTTTCCCCCTGGCGAGGGGCGGGGGAGAGGTCTCCCGTTTCGGCCACCAGGGAAGGCCCCCCTCGGCTCTGCCGGAGCGCCATGGAGATGCTGCTGAGTGCGCGGGGTCCCGGCCTGTGGGGCGCAGGACACCCCGCACTGGCAGCACAGCACCTTTGGGACTGGAGTGGCACCCCACTGCAAAAATCAGTCCACATAGGACAGTGCTTGTTGCCTCCAGGCAGCAGGGTCAGGGATTTCCCTGGGTTGTGTCACTCATGCTGCTGGGCAGCTCCACCCACGTGGACTTTGGCAGAACTGTCCCCTCTGGCCAGACTAGTCCCCGCATGGTCCAGGACGGGCTTCCCTTGTGCTGTTCTCTGCAGCTTCTGGGATGGGATACAGGACATGCCAGACTGTACGGTGAAGGGGCTGCTATGGGTAGGGGATGAGATCTGTGTTGCTCCTTCACACTCACAGCACCTGTCAAAGGATCTGGGGGCGCCCCAGGGGTCCCTGGCAGCCTGGCTTGAGAATCACTGTTTTAGTGCGTGAGAGCCATAAAATGTAACCGCCTCTTTTATTTCAGTGTAAAGCTGAGTTGCTAAAAAGAAACAGCACAAGTTGCTAAAAGAGGTTATCTATATTTTCAAATTTTTCAAAATAAGCAGGGTCTTATAAGTAAAACTGAAAAAGATTTCTTAAAAATATGGTTTGCTTTGACTTTAAAAAGTCATTCTTCTTTCCTTTTGCCTCACCTTGTGTAAAATGTTTCCCCCTCCGGTGCCCCCCCCTCCCCCCCCCAAATTGGGCCAGTATTTCCTTTTCCCACCAGAGTAATGACAGAGTAAATCAAAACTGCAGGACTTCAGTGAGCTTCTTTGCTTTCAAATTATAAACAGAATTGGACAGGAGACGGTTATACATTTGTAACATCTCATTGTAAAATAGAGCAGCAGTAGTATAAATATTGATATTAAGAAGTTCAAATTTGTCCATGCTTAACTGTTCAGCCACTTATAGTTTATACAAGTGTGTCAGTGGTTCCTCACATCAGTCTACATATTTTCTTCTGTAATAGTGACTCCAGTACATGACAACAACTGATCCTCATCACAGATGACATCTGATCCTCATCACAGTTACAGTACTTCTCTGATTTTGGCAGGTTTGTAGCATCTTTTTTGGTCTTGTTGAATTGTATATCCAGAGTTTCATCTTGTGAGAAGGAAAACTTCATGTGATAGGTTCCCAAACTTTTTTACAGTCCTCTCCCTTGGCATGCATAATCAGGCAAACTGTCTCCCTTACCCTTCACAGTTGTACAGCATCCCTGTGACACTAGGATAGTGTGCATTTTAGTTGAGTGCAAATATTAATTTTCTTATTTTGGAAAAATGTAATCACACTGATTATCTTTACTCTCCCTTTCCTGCCTGTTCTGTTCTTGCTCCTTTGCAGGGGCTTCTCTGACACCTTTCTTCTCTCTCCATTCTCTTCTCTCTTTACCTTTCCAGATGCCTGGTCCTTTACTACCCATCCATCTGGTTCCCTTTTCCCCAGGAGTCCCGTTGGTAGGTCTTTTGTCAACTCCATCTTCCATTTTTCTTCCTCTGTTACAGTGACTGCTAGTGAAAGAAGCTAAACTGGCTTTCCTTCATTTCTAGCTGTTTTAATGGCCATCAATACTCTGTAAAGAAAGCTGGTTGCAAAGTGGAAAAATTGGTACTATGTAACTTTTCTACTCTGTATACAAGGTTCTTTGGGTAAATGCAATATCTTTTATTAGACCAACTACGTAGTTGTTCTTTGCAAGCTTTCCAGCACAAACACCCTTCTTCAGGCATAGGGAGAGTCTGCATGTGTTTTGTGTTTTCTCTTCTTTTGGGAACCACCTACTATGCCACAGATTCATCTCAATGATGTTTTATGCCTCCTTTTTTTATTTATGATTCCCGCATCTGTTCCCCCTCTGTCTACTTTGCCTCCAGACTGTCTTACAAACACGAACATTTCCTCCCAAAGGTTTTGAGAACTGTGGTAATTTTGTTAATCTCTGATTTATTCTGTAAAGTGCAAATATACTCTGCCTTCTGCCATCCTAGTAATATCATCAGTAGGCCTGTCTGCTACATTAATTATTTCTTCTTTCTGAAATAGCAGTCTTTCATTCTGTTGCTACTTAAACTTATTTTTTAGTTAGCAATAGCACTTTTCATTTTCACTTGTGTTTTGTTTGGTTTGGTTTGTTTTTCTTGGCCACCTTCACCCTTGCTTATAACAAATCTCCTAAGGTGGGGAAAAAACAAAAAAGGAAGCCTTAGATCCATCTCTGTTCAGTTTAAAATGTTTTCAATAAAATCAACTGTTGAAAAAACTTGTTTGGAAACAAATGGAAGTTGTTATTTGCACAGTATTGAAAAATTTGCTTGTGTCTCTAGAAAACAAAGAACATGTCCTTGCCCTGTAAAATTTGCAATTTAATTTGCACGTGATGCAATGAAAGGCAGTAAATAGTAAGGAGGGAGGTGAGAAAGTACAAGGGTCAAGTAATTAGATCAGTAAACTAACACATTTGTAGTGCATAGAATCTTGTAAATATGCATAAAAAGGATGTTTGTGTGTTTGTTTTTCTTTTGGGGGTAGATATACTCATTTCTTGCAGTGGTAGGCTTCTGAAAGATATTTGAAAAAGAAAGGCAGCCTAATTGTTCATGCCATAAAATACCATCAGCTTTCTAGATATTATTCACCTCCTGTACCGTACTTCGTCCTTTTTTAGGTTGAAAAGGTTGATGAAGGTTGATTCATACCAATCTATCTTGTTTGTTGTTTCCTACTTATTTTAACTAAGGTTTTCTTCAAATTCACCAGCTGAGCTGACCAGATGATATGGACTGAATTTCATACCAGTATGGGTTTATCCCAGTCTCTCTCCTGTTAGCCACTTTTTACCTCTTTTGGACTCTCCTGGGTACTGAAGTTTCTCTCAAGATTACATTTGTGTAGGATTCTCATTCTCTGATCTCTTACCACAGGACTGGTGAAATATACCTGGCTCCTATGGATTTTTTTTATTTTTTACCTTTAAGGACAGTAATAGCAAGGGGTAGCACCAAACCCCTTACATGCGCTTGTCTTCTCAAGTTGGAAGCCTGCCCTCTGAATATTCCTATCAGTATTTTTGATAATGTATACAGTAGACAATACAAATATACAGAATACAAATATATACAGTATACAAATATACAGAAGCTCTGTATAGAACACTGTGCTTCTTTGGGCTTCATCTCTATATCTTATCCCAACAGCACCTAAAGTTATTGCTCATTACTCTGATTCCATTTGAGTCAGATATGGTATTAAATTTCACAGGTCTCCCTATCAAATCTGTGTTTCGCGGTGCTTCAGCAACTTGTAGGAATCCAATACTTACCTTCATCACTATTTTTTGGTGCTTAACACTGTTTTGGTGCCAGATATTTTTTTGAACCTCAGTGTCTCAGGTTTTAGTGCTACTTCCCTGTCAGTGTTGTATAGATGGATCAGTATTCTTTTGATGTTCACTCAGCCAAGAACTCCTGTAAGTCCAAAATGATGTAGTTGACCACAAAGTTTTGCACTAGTTAGCTGATATGAATGAATGTCTAGACTGAGTTTCAGAGCTGCCCATGTTGTCACAAATGCAGTGGCAAGCCCCCAAAAGAATAGCCTTCCTCTTTGAACCAATTTCACCATTATCTTTGAAACAAAGTATTTAATATTTGAAAATGATGGTACTTAGCCACCATGAGAGGTCAGGAAAATAATTCCTCACTTGAAGCCCCTGACAGCGCCTTATTAAAGCCTTGTATTTTCCTGTCCAGCTTCCATGTGCTTAAAGTACAGATCCAGATAATAATTCTAGATATCAGTATGAGCTCAGTGACCTAGCCCTAATCACTAATAATAAAGGGTAGGGTTGTTATAAAGTTCTCTGTATTGGCTTTTAAGGCATACCTCCTGCCTCCTGTTAGCAGCTGTCAGAATTGTCAGCATGAGCACTTCTTCCACCAGGGACACCATCTTTGGCGTCAATGCTCCCATTACATGTGGCTCTGGTGTCAGCCCAGACTTTCTTACCACTGATACCAAACACACAAACATGGGAATTGCCATATTGGATCAATTTTGAATTTTCCATTTTTTATTTAATT